CACACTCACACACATACACACACACACACACACATACACACACACACACACACACACTCACACACATACACACACACTCACACACATACACACACCACACACACACACACACACAGACACACACACACACACACGCACACACACACACACTGTTGCCCATATAAGGCGTTTCCTTCCCGCTGGTCAGAGGTTGACAGCCACTGATAGCGCCGCTTTGCATTGTGGGTAAACTGTTGTAGTGTTATCAGCCGTTTGGGTTCAGGTGTTCAGTTTAACCTGTTGTTGGTAAACCAGACTGCAGCTGCTGATTAGAACACACACACACACACACACTCAGACACACACACACACACACACACACACACACACACACACACACACACACACACACACACACATCCCATAATACACAAACCACACTGGTAACCTTGATATTAGGGTCCTTAGTTATTATGTGTAAGGCCCTTATAAGCGTGTAGGGAATGGAATATTAAATTAAACATACATGTACAGTGTGTCCAGTTATCCAGTTATTTCAGAGTACTTCTGGAAATTAAAGTATTTTAATCACAGATTGAGGTTTGAATGGTTTGGTCTGTTGACAGTTGGGAGCTGGTTCTTAAACCGGAGAGCAGGTGACAGGAAGTAGAGAGATACCGTTTTATTATCTGATAATAGAAACCCTGCAGGTTCATTTGTAGCTTCCTGTCTGATGTGATATTCATTTCTGACCTGATTGCGGTCACTAGAGTTTATCCCCACCAACATCACTGTTTGTCCCTGCAGGCCACCGTACACTGAACAAGAGGAAACACATATTCAATGCTATTAAGAGAAAAAGGTCATACATTTACACAGAAGATATTAAAATATATAAATAAAACACACACACACACACACACACACACACACACACAGAGAGAGACACACACACAGAGACACAGACAGACAGACAGACAGACAGACAGACAGACAGACAGACAGACAGACAGACAGACAGACAGACAGACAGACAGACAGACAGACAGACAGACAGACAGACAGACAGACAGACAGACAGACAGACACACAGACACACACACACACACACACACACACACACACACACACACACACACACACACACACACACACACACACACACACACACACACAGAGCTTGGTCATCTTATCTGAACACATTTATTACGCTTAAGATAAGATTGTTTGAACGTCGCAATAAAATAAAACGTTGGATTTAAGAAAAAATCAAACGTTTTCCACAGATCGGCTGCTGACGCCCCCTTCAGGCTGCAAAGTTTATTACAGGCACATCTGAATAATTTGGGACAATTTTAATTAAATTCAAAACGTTTTGTGACTTGGTATCGACATAATAATTAAATGAACTTCACATTTTTCGTAATTGAAACCCACATTTCTTTAATTCTTGCAAATACTTGTTTTTATATTTTTATTTTTGTTTCGCTTACAATGTTCATATGATGAGGAGGAAATGAAATTGCAATGCAGGGTTGTGAGAAATAGAATTGTGTATTTGTATGAGAGGGTGTGTCTGAGAAATAAGGTTATCAAATAACACACACACTTTACATTCTTTGGAAGTTAGTGATTCCCACAGGAGGTACGCACACACACACACACACACACACACACACACACACACACACACACACACACACACACACACACACACACACACACACACACATTCCATTTGTATGAGCGTGTGTGTGTGTGTGTGTGTGTGTGTGTGTGTGTGTGTGTAATAAATGGAAAGTTTCTCTGTTATCTTAAACCTCATTCTGACTCATTCTGTGTGTGTGTGTGTTTGCTTTGCTATCTTTGTGAGGACCATTACATTGTTGGGGTAATTAGTTTGGTCCCCACTTGAGTCGTAAAACGAGAATCAGTGTGTGTGTGTGTGTGTGCGTGTGCGTGTGTGTGTGTGTGTGTGTGTGTGTGTGTGTGTGTGTGTGTGTGTGTGTGTGTGAGTTGGGTGGGTGTACTTATGGCGCATTTCCATTGCAGCGCGTAGCTCGCTTTAAGCGTGCCGTGTCGTGCCGTCCCCTTTTTTGGTTGTGCTTCCACTAGGCCTCGTTCCGGCGCGGCACGGCGCGGGGCCACTTTTTCCCCTCTTTTCTGGCCCTAGAAAATTGTGGTTCTATCGGGGCCAACAAACAGGGCTGAGTCGGGCTGAGTATGCTAAACTAGAGAGAGGAGCGCTGGCAAGAGGGCTAGAACTACAACAAGATGGACATATTTGACCGTGATTTAATTGTAATACACGTTTCAAAATGATGCCGAAGTAACAACATACTGATACCGGTTAGTAAAAACCATTAATTCATGGTTTTTACAAGTCTGCAGACAGACGGCAGGCGAAAAACCTTTTAAAATTCGTGTTTTTCTAGATGGAGATTGGCTAAGCTAACGCAGTATATGCCCCGACCGTCCACACTCACAACAACGGCCTATACAGACATAAATAAAGCAGCGACTGTATTCACCATGACACAGGCAGTCTGTGGTGTGTACTTGTTTAACTTTTGTCTAGTTTCTGAACATATATAAGGAGCTGTGAGCTCTGAGTGCTAACAGCTAACGGCTAACGGCTGTGTTGTGTTTCTGGATTTCTCATTGAAGATGACGTCACGGCTCCGCCTACACTGCGTTACTATAGTAACTACCCCAGTTCCTAAACTGTAATGGAAGCGCAGCATGAAGTGAGTCGGCCCTGTTAAGGCCCAACGCGGCCAAGCCGTACCGAGCCGTACCGAGTGTGGCCGAGGCCGACCGTGTAGTGGAAATGCGCCATTAAATTCTTTCAGCTAACCGTAATCCTCAGATTAAATTCCACTGTGTCACATTTGGGAAAAAGCAAAAACAAAACAAATACACAAATCATGACATGAGTTAATAATATATCCAGACGATACAAAAATAGAGAATCATCAGAAACACAGTCCAGACAGAACAAAAACAAACGTGCCGTTAGAGAGGAGAGAAAAGCAGAAGTGAAACGATGAGTCTTTTAAAGAGTTTAAAAATAAAAACTGTTCCTCTAAAACAGAAAACAGGTTTTTATTGAGACGTTGGAGCAGACAGATTAATCATGTCCATCTCAGTATATGTTGAAATAATGACAGTAAAGAAAGGTGCAGATCAAGAGACGGGCGTTTCAGAAATGTCCCATGATGAGAATCTGCACCTGAATGCATCATTGAGCCTCAGAAGAAGAAACTAAAAAGCATCACCAGGTTTCGGGGGAAATACAGCTTTTGTCGTCAAAATTTCACTCAAAATTTCCAACGGAAGATGATGCAGCTGGTGAGGACTCTTTAAAGTAGAGACACTAAATACTGACCTGAACATCAGCAGCAGAGGACTCTTTAAAGTAGAGAAACTACATACTGATATACACCTGAACATCAGCTGGTGAGGACTCTTTAAAGTAGAGACACTACATACTGACCTGAACATCAGCAGGAGAGGACTCTTTAAAGTAGAGACACTACATACTGATATACACCTGAACATCAGCAGGAGAGGACTCTTTAAAGTAGAGACACTACATACTGATATACACCTGAACATCAGCAGGAGAGGACTCTTTAAAGTAGAGACACTACATACTGATATACACCTGAACATCAGCAGGAGAGGACTCTTTAAAGTAGAGACACTACATACTGATATACACCTGAACATCAGCAGGAGAGGACTCTTTAAAGTAGAGACACTACATACTGATATACACCTGAACATCAGCAGGAGAGGACTCTTTAAAGTAGAGACACTACATACTGATATACACCTGAACATCAGCAGGAGAGGACTCTTTAAAGTAGAGACACTACATACTGATATACACCTGAACATCAGCAGGAGAGGACTCTTTAAAGTAGAGACACTACATACTGATATACACCTGAACATCAGCAGGAGAGGACTCTTTAAAGTAGAGCGATAGGGAACATTTAAATAAAACCCAGGAGAATCAACATTTTCTTAAAAATGTAAAAACTTTATTTGGCCAACATAGACATCATTAAGAACAATTAATGCTATACAATCCCTGACACTGAAGCATTAATACAAAATACAGATAAAAGATTTCCAGTCAACACTGATCAGATCAGTTTCAAATTAAATGTGAGGTTTCCTCGTATCAGTACCGTCTTCTTAAATAATCCCAAACTGCTTTCAACAAAAATCAGACATCATTAAACTTTTTGGATAAAGAAATGCATCGACCATGAGGCAATTACTGTATATCTAGACTTTGGAAAAACACACATCGGGTACAGGGCACGGGGGATCACGTTCTCTTGTTTCACATTTCATCTTGGACATTAGGATTCTTTTCCCCAAAGATATACAACATTGATTTCAGGAAATTGTGTTTTTTACTCAAACAATTTTCACTTTATTTTCAAAAATTGTGAATTTTTCTTCTGAATAGAAAATTAATAATATCACAAAATAAGTTTATACGACATTTTTGGTTTTTATTTTTCGGAAATTTCGTTTTTTTCTTTACTTGATTTTCAGAAGAAAAAAAACGTTTTCTTGACATTTTTGTTTTGTACTTTTAGAAAATGTTGTGTGTTTGTGTGTGGTGTCTGTGAGTGTATGTGTGTGTGTGTGTGTGTCTGTGTGTGTCTGTGAGTGTGTGTGTGTGTGTGTGTGTGTGTGTGTGTATGTGTGTATGTGTGTGTGTGTGTGTTTTCTGTCTGGGTTTGTGTGTGTGTGTGTGTGTGTGTGTGTGTGTGTGTGTGTGTCTGTGTGTGTGTGTGTGTGTCTGTGAGTGTATGTGTGTGTGTGTGTCTGTCTGGGTTTGTGTGTGTGTCTGTGAGTGTATGTGTGTGTGTGTGTGTGTGTGTGTGTGTGTGTGTGTGTGTGTGTGTGTGTGTGTGTTGTTGGGTTGTGTGTGTGTGTGTCTGTCTGGTGTTGTGTGTGTGTGTGTGTGTAGTGTAGTGTCTGTGTGTGTGTGTGTGTGTGTGTGTGTGTGTGTGTGTGTGTGTGTGTGTGTGTGTGTGTCTGTGTCTGTGTGTGTGTGTGTGTGTATGATATTTTAACTTTTTGTCTCAAACATGTGATAATGTCGGGGAACAGATCAAGTTTTTCTTATTTTTGTGACTTTTTGTTGGAAATTGAACATTTATTTCATTTCACTAAATAATAATAATCTTTAAGTTTTCGTTTTGTAAATGTGAGACTTTATCTTCATCAAATGACAACTTTAAAGACGCAAATGACCTCATTCTCTGTTTAAAATGTCCTGTTTTCTTTGTAAATGTACGACTTGTTTTTCTTTTTACAAATATAACCCCCGTACCCGGTCTCCATATTTATTTAGTTTTTACCAAAAAAGCACATTTTTACCTATTTTTCTTGCATCATGACAACAAAAAACAGCTTGATTGTCAATCGAGAGTAAACAAAACAACATTTGAGGGTAAACAGAAATATGAGCTCCAGGTTTGTTCAGTAGTTTTCTTGAAATTTGGACCACAACACTTTTTATCGTTCCAGTTCCTGTTAATTCGGCTGCAACATGGTTTTGATCTGCTTGGGGGTCGCCTCGTCGTTCAGGTGTTTGGTCGTATACCTGGAAATTAATCATTCGTTAAGAAACATAATGTGTCATCAAATGTGTGTCTTAAACAAAGAAATGCAAAAATAAATGAATAAATAAATAAATGACTAAATTAGTAGGTAAATTAATTAATACAAAATAATGAATAAATAATAAAATTATAGACGAAATAAAAAATTAATAAATACAAAAATAAATACAAAAATAAATACTAAATAAATGACTAAATAAATGAATAAATGACTAAATTAGTAAGTTAATTAATTAATACATTCATACAAAAATAATGAATAAATAATAAAAACTATAGATGAAATAAAAAATAAATAAATAAATGTAAAAAATAAATAAATATAAAATGTGTTCAGACCTGAGAGCGTTGAGTAACCCCTCCACACTGCTGGGCGGCTGATCCTTCAGCACCCTGATGCAGCCTTTCATCTGGAAAGTATCATTCATATTATTATCATTATAATTATACAACAATTCTTTACGTTTCTTTATTTTTTCATCATTATTATTTATTTTTATTATTTTATTATTGTTTGATATTTATAAAATAAAATGTATATGGAAGATGATGTTGAATGTGATCAACTGGCGCAAAGAAAATGTTCATATATATATATATACATTACTTACTAAGATTTTAACAATGTGTCTGTCTGTCTGTCTGTCTGTCTGTCTGTGTGTGCGTGTGTCTGTGTGTGTGTGTGTGTGTGTGTGTGTGTGTGTGTGTGTGTGTGTGTGTGTGTGTGTGTTAACGTACGTCAATATTGGAGGTCTTAATGAAGGCTCCAGCTGGGTGGACGTGGTCGTACAGGATGATGACGCCCACCATCACACGGAGGCAGAACAGCACCGTCTCTTCACTGGCAAACCGAGTGCGGTACTCCCTGTACGCGCACACACACACACAAACACACACACAACAGACACACACACACACACACACAAAAAAAAATACATTTGAATTTTTATAGTAATTTTCATTTTTTCTATTTTCATTTTTATTATTATTACTGCATGTTTATCATTATTATTATTATTCTATTTAATTTATATTATTATTTGTATTAATATTATTACAATTATTTTCATATTATTATCTTATTATTACACACACATAAGGACTCACGGTGTTTCCAGCATCACTTTACACACACTGGCCATCGTGCTCAGACAGTCCGTCGTGTTCTCGATCGGCAGGTCTGGGTTCTGCGGGACAATAAAGGTTTATTCAAATAAAGTGGGCTCCTAAACATCTCAGTCGTCAGGCGGAAATAATAAATCATATGTGACTTATTTACCTGAGGATTAAGGTGTCTGTCTGTCTGTCTGTCTGTCTGTCTGTCTGTCTGTGTATGTGTGTGTGTGTGTGTGTGTGTGTGTGTGTGTGTGTGTGTGTGTGTGTGTGTGTGTGTTTGGAGCCTCTTTTTTCACAGGATAATGAATTTATTTTTAAACTCAATTATTTTTGTATTTAATATTTTAAAAATAATAACCAATTTTCTTCTTTTTTCTTTTATAATGTTCTACTTTTAAAGAGGTCCACGAGGATTTATTTATTATTTATTCATTTATACTTTATTTATTTATTCATCATCTCTCAAATATTTAAACGTTATGAAGTACTGTGAGTTCTTATCAACTTCCCTTCACAGAGGAGGAGAGGGTGACCCCTGCAGGCCAACATGTGCATTACATTTAGGACATTTAATAAATGTTCTTTAATCTATAAACTACATTTCATCTTTAAATCTAAAACTTCAATAAAATGAGAAAAAATGCTTTTAATTCATGCAAGGACATCAAGTAATTTATTTCTATTTATTTAGCTTTGTTTAATTATTTTATTTCACTAATGTTTTTGATCCTGACTTTTTGACAGTCCAAAACCTTTGGTAAATAATTTGTATTTTTATTATTGTTGTTATTTTATTGTTTTATTATAATTTTTTAAACCTGTTTACTGTTTGTTTTTTAACAACCAAAAAGTCAAAATACACACACACACACACAGAAACACAAACACAGAAACACACACACACAGAAATACACACACACACACACACAGAAACACACACACACACAGAAATACACGCACACGCAGAGAAACACACACACACACACACACACAGAAACACACATACACACACGCAGAGAAACACACACACACACACACACACACACACACACACACACACACACACACACACACACACACAAATAAATATTTAAGATAAAAGAACAAGGTAAATAAATGAATCAACTTAAAGGGGACCTATCATGCAAAATGCACTTGTGTACGTCTTTTCTACATGAATATGTGTCCCCGGTGTTCCAGGGAACTCACCAAGTGTCAGAAAACACAACCCTCTCTATTTTCCTCCATACCCAAATCTCTAAAAAAGGGGCTGCAACGGATCTGATAAAAACTGATCCAGATTTGAACACTGTCCTGACGTCAGGACGGTGGCGCTACGGCTATTGGGCCAACTCCACCAATCAGGAGGAGACAGCCACGGCCATTGCCGTTCAAAAGCGCTGGAGACGCTGTAGTACATATGCCAGGCCTGTAGGTGGTGCTGTTCTCACTGAATCAGCCCTTGCTAAAACAGAGCTAGAAATTGTCAAATTGAGCGAAATGAGGCATGGCTAAAATGCATGATCTGTTTGGTATTTTGAAAAAAAAAAAAGTATAAATATGCCTTATATAGGTATGGCCCTACCCTATATTATTATAATATAGCATGATAGGTCCACTTTAAGCTTATTAATTCTTATAATTTATAAATAAAGACGTTTGTTGGCAAACACAGACAATATGTAATTCTTAAAATATTTTTTAAAACACAACACTGGTTTGGTTTAAAATTCCATTAATTGCATCCTCCTCTAATGCACCTCCTCCTGATGCACCTCCTTTACTCCCTCCTACTCCCTCCTTCTGATGCACCTCCTTTACTCCCTGCTACTACCTCCTCCTGATGCACCTCCTCCTGATGCACCTCCTTTACTCCCTCCTACTCCCTCCTCCTGATGCACCTCCTTTACTCCCTCCTCCTGATGCACCTCCTTTACTCCCTGCTACTACCTCCTCCTGATGCACCTCCTCCTGATGCACCTCCTTTACTCCCTCCTACTCCGTCCTCCTGATGCACCTCCTTTACTCCCTCCTACTCCCTCCTCCTGATGCACCTCCTTTACTCCCTCCTATTCCCTCCTCCTGATGCACCTCCTTTACTCCCTCCTACTCCCTCCTCCTGATGCACCTCCTTTACTCCCTCCTCCTGATGCACCTCCTTTACTCCCTCCTATTCCCTCCTCCTGATGCACCTCCTTTACTCCCTGCTACTACCTCCTCCTGATGCACCTCCTCCTGATGCATCTCCTTTACTCCCTCCTACTCCCTCCTCCTGATGCACCTCCTTTACTCCCTCCTACTCCCTCCTCCTGATGCACCTCCTTTACTCCCTCCTACTCCCTCCTCCTGATGCACCTCCTTTACTCCCTCCTACTCCCTCCTACTCCCTCCTCCTGATGCACCTCCTTTACTCCCTCCTACTCCCTCCTCCTGATGCACCTCCTTTACTCCCTCCTACTCCCTCCTCCTGATGCACCTCCTTTACTCCCTCCTACTATCTCCTCCTGATGCACCTCCTTTACTCCCTGCTACTACCTCCTCCTGATGCACCTCCTCCTGATGCACCTCCTTTACTCCCTCCTACTCCCTCCTTCTGATGCACCTCCTTTACTCCCTGCTACTACCTCCTCCTGATGCACCTCCTCCTGATGCACCTCCTTTACTCCCTCCTACTCCCTCCTCCTGATGCACCTCCTTTACTCCCTCCTCCTGATGCACCTCCTTTACTCCCTGCTACTACCTCCTCCTGATGCACCTCCTCCTGATGCACCTCCTTTACTCCCTCCTACTCCTCCTCCTGATGCACCTCCTTTACTCCCTCCTACTCCCTCCTACTCCCTCCTCCTGATGCACCTCCTTTACTCCCTCCTATTCCCTCCTCCTGATGCACCTCCTTTACTCCCTCCTCCTGATGCACCTCCTTTACTCCCTCCTCCTGATGCACCTCCTTTACTCCCTCCTATTCCCTCCTCCTGATGCACCTCCTTTACTCCCTTACTCCTGCTACTACCCCTCCTGATGCACCTCCTTTACTCCCTCCTACTCCTCTCCTCCTGATGCACCTCCTTTACTCCCTCCTACTCCCTCCTCCTGATGCACCTCCTTTACTCCCTCCTACTCCCTCCTCCTGATGCACCTCCTTTACTCCCTCCTACTCCCTCCTACTCCCTCCTCCTGATGCACCTCCTTTACTCCCTCCTACTCCTCCTCTGATCACCTCCTTTACTCC